GTGGGGACATCCTCTCCTAGGGGGCTCACCTCTGTCCCTGGGGGTTTCACAGTGTCCCCAATGTCCCCAATGGGGGTGTCACAGTGTCCCCAATGTCCCCAATGGGGGTGTCACAGTGTCCCCAATGTCCCCAATGTCCCCAATGTCCCCACAGGCGGTTCCAGCTGGACAGGGACCCCCGCAGGGGCCGGTACTGTGCCCTGGGGGTGTCACAGTGTCCCCAATGGGGGTGTCACAGTGTCCCCCATGTCCCCACAGGCGGTTCCAGCTGGACAGGGACCCCCGCGGGGGCCGGTGCTGTGCCCTGGGGGTGTCACAGTGTCCCCAATGTCCCCAATGTCCCCATGTCCCCACAGGCGGTTCCAGCTGGACAGGGACCCCCGCGGGGGCCGGTGCTGTGCCCTGGGGGTGTCACAGTGTCCACAGTGTCCCCAATGGGGGTGTCACAGTGTCCCCAATGTCCCCACAGGCGGTTCCAGCTGGACAGGGACCCCCGCGGGGGCCGGTACTGTGCCCCGTGCGGGGCGTGGCACGCGGCCGAAGAGGGTGACCTGTGGGCAGAGTCCAGCCTGCTCGGCCTCAAGGTCACCTACCTGGCCCGCATGGACGGCCACATCTACGACGTCACCGGTGAGGGACACGGACACACCTGGCGGTGACACAGCCCCAGAGACAGGGGTGGCCACACCCAGCCCAGGGGGTGACAGGTCCCGTGGTGTCCCTGGTGTCACCATGGCCAGGGGACGGCATGACCAAGGGGACACCATGACCAGGGGACAGACACCATGACCATCTCTGGGGGTCCCTCATGTCACCATGAGCAAAGGGACACCATGACCAAGGGCACACTATGACCATCCTGGGGTGTCCCTGGTGTCACCATCCTGGGGTGTCCTTGGTGACACCATGCCCAACAGGACGCCATGACCATCGCTGGGTCCCTCTGGTGTCACCATCCTGGGGTGTCCTTGGTGTCACCATGACTGGGGGGACACCATGACCAAGGGGACACCATGACCAGGTCCCTCTTGGGGAACACCATGACCATCCCAGGGGTCTCTCTGGTGTCACCATTACCAGAGGGACGCCATGACCAAGGGGACACCATGACCATCCCAGGGGTCTCTCTGGTGTCACCATGACCAAGGGGACACCATGACCATCCCAAGGTCTCTCTGGTGTCACCATGACCAAGGGGACGCCATGACCAAGAGGACACCATGACCATCCCGGGGGTCTCTGCTGTCACCATGCCCAGGTCACTCAGGGGGGTGACCATGCCCACCCCAGGGGTCTCTCTGCTGTCACCGTGACCGTGTCCCCTGTCTGTCCCCAGAGTGGGCGGGCTGCCAGCGCGTGGCCATCTCCCCGGACAGTCACCGTGTCCCCTACCACCTGTCCTTCGGCGCCAGGACAGCCACGCCCGCCGGACGCCAGCGGTCAGTGCTGGGGGGTCCCCAGGGGCTGGACACCAGCAGTCAGTGCTGGGGGGGTCCCCAGGGGGGTCCTGGGGTGTCCTGGGGGTCCCCAGGGAGTGTCCAGGGTCTGGATGCCAGCGGTCAGTCCTGGGGGAGGAGGCTCCAAGGGTGCCCAGGTGTGTTCAGGTGTGTTCAGGTGTGCCCAGGTGTGTCAAAGTCTGCCCAGGTACATCCAGGTGTGCCCAGGTGTGTTCAGGTGTGTCCAGGTGTGTCCAGGGGGTGTCTAAGGAGTGCCCAGGTGTGTCAAAGTCTACCCAGGTGTGCCTAAGGGTTGTCTAGGTACATCCAGGTGTGCCCAGGTGTGCCCAGGTAGCTCCAGCTGTGCCCCAACCCCCTTTTCTCTCCGTTCAGGTGTGTTCAGGTGTGCCCAGGTGTGTTCAGGTGTGCCCAGGTGTGTCAAAGTCTACCCAGGTGTGCCTAAGGGTTGTCTAGGTACATCCAGGTGTGCCCAGGTGTGTTCAGGTGTGCCCAGGTGTGTCAAAGTCTGCCCAGGTACATCCAGGTGTGCCCAGGTGTGTTCAGGTGTGTTCAGGTGTGTCCAGGGGGTGTCTAGGGAGTGCCCAGGTGTGTCAAAGTCTACCCAGGTGTGCCTAAGGGTTGTCTAGGTACATCCAGGTGTGCCCAGGTGTGTTCAGGTGTGTTCAGGTGTGCTCAGGTGTGTTCAGGTGTGCTCAGGTGTGTTCAGGTGTGCTCAGGTGTGTTCAGGTGTGCTCAGGTGTGTCCAGGGGGTGTCTAGGGAGTGCCCAGGTGTGTCAAAGTCTACCCAGGTGTGCCTAAGGGTTGTCTAGGTACATCCAGGTGTGCCCAGGTGTGCCCAGGTAGCTCCAGCTGTGCCCCAACCCCCTTTTCTCTCCCCCCAGGGCCCCCCCCAAGGGCAGCCCCCCCTCCCCCGCTGACCTCCAGGATTTCCTGGCCCGCGTTTTCCAGGGGAATCCGGGCCCGGGCGAGGCCGGGGGGGCTTTCCCCGCCCCCCACGGGGCTGCGGGACCCCCCCAGGGACCCCCCCAGGCCCAGGGGGGCCCCCCCAGAGGGGACACGAAGCACAAGAGGAGGAAGAAGGGGCGGCGGCCGCTGCCGCGCTGAGGAGACCCCCGATCCCCACCCCAAAAAAAAAACAAAAAACAAAAGGGCTTGGAATAAAAAAATCTATTTTTTTTTTCTTTTTATTTGGGTTTTTTAAAGAAAATCGAGTGGTGGTTTTTGTGTTAAAAAAATAAAAAAGGGGGAGGTTGATTTAATAAGGGAGGTGTGGAAATAGGGGTTGGTTTGGGGGTCCCCAAGGCCCCCCCCGGTGTCCCCAAAGGCCCCCCAGCCTCACCAGCCCTCCGGGACGCCACGGCAGCACCACTTCCGGCTCTCACCGGAAATAGAATGACGTCACTGACCCCGCAGTGGTCGCCGCCATGTTGGCAGTACCGGTGAGGCCTCAGCATGCGGCGCCATCTTGAGTGTGGGCAGGGCCGCGCTGGTGGCTCTTCAGGCGCCGTTACCGGGGTTGTGGCGGGTCCGGAGCGGCCGGGACCGACCGTGGGGTGAGGACGTGTCCGGTTAGTCCGGGAGACACGGCCTGGCCTGACGGAGAAGCCGCCACTCGGATCATGGAGGCTGCCACAACAATCATGGCGGCTGCCCTCATCATGGCTGTCGCCACACCCATCATGGCGGCCTCAATCCATCATGGAGGCTGCCACAACCATCATGGCGGCCTCCACACCCATCATGGCGGCACCACACCCATCATGGCGGCCGCCACACCCATCATGGTGGCAGCCCCTGGACACTGAAGGAACACTCGGAGTCAATGTGGGGTCAGCGCCTTTTATTGGGGACAAAAAGTGACCCGTAGGGACAAAGTGACCCCTGGGGCCGAACTGACCCCTGGGGCTGTGGCTCTGTCCGGCCACTGCCCATCCTGGAGCTCCAGGACATGGCAGGGCCTCCATGGGGCCTTCCCAGGGACCGTCCCTGTCCCATGTCCCCTGTCCTGTGTCTGTGTCCCCTGTGCCATGTCCTCTGTCCCATGTCCCTTATCCCATGTCCTGAGTCCACCCTGTGTCCACCCCAGATGTCCCTCAGGTGGGTCCGGGTGTCTGCGGCCGGTCCCTGTCCCTGTCCGTGTCCATCCTGTGTTCATGTTGAGTCCATCCCTTGTCCATGTCCCGTGTCCATCTGTCCAGCTGTGTCCATCCCCGTGTCCATCCCCATGTCCATCTGTCCATGCCGTGTCCATCTGCCTATCCGTGCCCATGTCCCTCTGTCCTTGCCGTGTCCGTCTGTCTGTCGGTGTGGGTCAGACGGGTCCCGGCGCAGCGTTGTCCCCGTCCCTGTCCCTCCCATGTCCATGCTGTGTCCATCTGTCCGTGCCGTGTCCGTCCATCCGTGCCGTGTCCATCTGTCCGTGCCGTGTCTGTCTGTCCAGCCATGTCCGTCTGTCCGTGGGTGTCGCTCAGGCGGGTCCTGGCATGGTGCTGTCCCTGTCGCTGTCCCTCCCATGTCCATGCTGTGTCCATCTGTCCGTGCCGTGTCTGTCTGTCCGTGCCACGTCCATCTGTCCAGCCGTGTCCGTCTGTCCGTGCCGCGTCCATCTGTCCAGCCATGTCCGTCTGTCCTTGCCGTGTCCATCTGTCCAGCCGTGTCCGTCTGTCCAGCCGTGTCCGTCTGTCCGTGCCATGTCCGTCTGTCCTTGCCGTGTCCATCTGTCCAGCCGTGTCCATCCATCCGTGCCGTGTCCATCTGTCCGTGCCGTGTCCGTCTGTCCGTGCCGTGTCCGTCTGTCCAGCCGTGTCCGTCTGTCCGTGGGTGTCGCTCAGGCGGGTCCGGGCGCGGCGCTGTCCCCGTCCCTGTCCGCGGGTCCGGCCGCCCACTGCGGCCGCAGGATGGTGCCGGTGCGGCCCTCGCGGGCCTGCGGCCGCTGCTCCCGCGGGATGCGCACGGCCCGGAACCGCGGCACGGCCGGCGGCGGCGCCGCCCGCCGGAAAAACCCCAGCTGGGGGAGAGAGGGCGGGGAGATATCGCGACATGGCACCGGGCAGAGTGAGATATCGCGATATGGCACCGGGCAGAGTGAGATATCACGATATGGCACCGGACACAGTGAGATATCGTGCGTGACATGGCACCGGACGGAGTGAGATATCACGACATGGCACCGGACAGAGTGAGATATCACGACATGGCACTGGACACAGTGAGATATCGTGACATGGCACCGGGCACAGTGAGATATCGCGATATGGCACCGGGCACAGTGAGATATCGCGATATGGCACCGGGCAGAGTGAGATATCGCAATATGGCACCAGACACAGTGAGATATCGCGACATGGCACTGAGCAGAGTGAGATATCACGATATAGCACCAGACAGCGTGAGATATCACGATATAGCACCGGGCAGAGTGAGATACCGTGTGTGACATGGCACCGGACGGCGTGAGATATCACGACATGGCACCAGGCAGAGTGAGATATCGCGATATGGTACCAGACAGCATGGGGTATCGTGACATGGCACCAGAGCACGGGACGCATCGTGACATGGCGCTGGAGAGCGTGGGATATCACGATACGGCACCAGCCAGCACAAGATATCGTGATATGAAATAATACACCACCATATGACACAGGACACAGCTGAGGACAGCAGGGCACGTCGCGATGTGACACGACGTGACGCGACATGTCGCGATGTGACACGACGTGACAGGACACGGTACAGCTGGCAAGGCGCAGCAGGCATGACACATCCTGAAGCAGCACGGTATGTGGCGATATATCGCGATATGCCGTGCCGCATGGTGCCGTGTCGCGATACGCTCCACTCTATCGTGCCATGTCGCGACAGCAGGGGGCGCCTCACCTTCCAGAGCCCCAGCACGAGCAGCGCCAGCAGCAGCAGCCCCAGCAGCACCGCCAGCGGCAGCACCCACCAGGGGACGGCGGTGACGGCCACGCCCGGGTCCAGGTGCAGGGACACCGACATCTGTGGGGACACGGGGTCACGCGGGGTCACGCGGGGTCACATGGGGTGACACGGGGTCACATGGGGTCACATGGGGTCACACAGGGGTCATAAAGGGGTCACACAGGGGTCACATGGGGTCACACAGGGAACACACGGGGTCACACGGGGTCACATGGGGGTCACACAGGGGTTATAAAGGGTCATGCAGGGGTCACAAAGGGGTCACACGGGGTCACACAGGGGTCACACAGGGTCACACAGGGGTCACACGAGGTCACACGGGGTCACACGGGATCACACAGGGTCACAGGGGGTCACACAGGGTCATAAAGGGGTCACACAGGGTCACACGGGGTCACACGAGGTCACACAGCGGTCACTGGGAACACTGGGGTCACTGGGGACCCTGGGTGAGTCACGGGCGGATCAGTGGGACCTTGGGGACATCGAGGGGGCCTGGAGGGGCTTTGGGACACCAGGGGACATCGGGGGGGTCTCTGGGGGATCCTGGGGAGGTTCGGGGGGTCCGGGGGTGTCCCCAGATGTCCCCGGGGCTGTCCCCACCTGCGCCACCGCGTCCTTGATGACCACGTTGCCGCGGGGGGAGGTGACCGAGACCTCGGCGCGCACCATCAGCTCCAGGTTCTCCACGTCCAGGAACTCCTGGGATCGGGGGTTGGGAATTGGGGAGGGGGGCTCCAGGCCGGGCTGAGCCCCCTCCCCACGCGGGGGTCGCTCACCTCCAGGAAGGTCCCGTTCCAGAGGCGGCCCCGCGCCCGCAGCTCCGAGCGCTCCAGCGACGGCAGCGGGCACCGGAACGGGCGGCAGCGCGCCGTGCCCCGGGCACAGTCCTGGGACAGCGGGGACAGCGTGGGGACAGCGGGGACAGCGTGGGGACAGCGGGGACAGCGGGGGGACAGTGTGGACAGAGAGGGGGCAGCATGGGGACAGCGGGGGGACAGTGAGGGGGGGGAGGTTCGGGGGGTCCGGGGGTGTCCCCAGATGTCCCCGGGGCTGTCCCCACCTGCGCCACCGCGTCCTTGATGACCACGTTGCCGCGGGGGGAGGTGACCGAGACCTCGGCGCGCACCATCAGCTCCAGGTTCTCCACGTCCAGGAACTCCTGGGATCGGGGGTTGGGAATTGGGGAGGGGGGCTCCAGGCCGGGCTGAGCCCCCTCCCCACGCGGGGGTCGCTCACCTCCAGGAAGGTCCCGTTCCAGAGGCGGCCCCGCGCCCGCAGCTCCGAGCGCTCCAGCGACGGCAGCGGGCACCGGAACGGGCGGCAGCGCGCCGTGCCCCGGGCACAGTCCTGGGACAGCGGGGACAGCGTGGGGACAGCGGGGACAGCGGGGACAGGGTGGGGACAGAGAGGGGACAGCATGGGGACAGCGTGGGGACAGTGAGGGGACAGCAGGGACAGCGTGGGGACAGCGTGGGGACAGCGGGGACAGCGTGGGGACAGCGGGGACAGCGTGGGGACAGCGGGGACAGCGTGGGGACAGCGGGGACAGCGTGGGGACAGCGGGGACAGCGTGGGGACAGCGGGGACAGCGTGGGGACAGCGGGGACAGCGTGGGGACAGCGGGGACAGCGTGGGGACAGCGGGGACAGCGTGGGGACAGCGGGGACAGCGTGGGGACAGCGGGGACAGCGTGGGGACAGCGGGGACAGCGTGGGGACAGCGGGGACAGCGTGGGGACAGCGGGGACAGCGTGGGGACAGCGGGGACAGCGTGGGGACAGCGGGGACAGCGTGGGGACAGCGGGGACAGCGTGGGGACAGCGGGGACAGCGTGGGGACAGCGGGGACAGCGTGGGGACAGCGGGGACAGCGTGGGGACAGCGGGGACAGCGTGGGGACAGCGGGGACAGCGTGGGGACAGCGGGGACAGCGTGGGGACAGCGGGGACAGCGTGGGGACAGCGGGGACAGCGTGGGGACAGCGGGGACAGCGTGGGGACAGCGGGGACAGCGTGGGGACAGCGGGGACAGCGTGGGGACAGCGGGGACAGCGTGGGGACAGCGGGGACAGCGTGGGGACAGCGGGGACAGCGTGGGGACAGCGGGGACAGCGTGGGGACAGCGGGGACAGCGTGGGGACAGCGGGGACAGCGTGGGGACAGCGGGGACAGCGTGGGGACAGCGGGGACAGCGTGGGGACAGCGGGGACAGCGTGGGGACAGCGGGGACAGCGTGGGGACAGCGGGGACAGCGTGGGGACAGCGGGGACAGCGTGGGGACAGCGGGGACAGCGTGGGGACAGCGGGGACAGCGTGGGGACAGCGGGGACAGCGTGGGGACAGCGGGGACAGCGTGGGGACAGCGGGGACAGCGTGGGGACAGCGGGGACAGCGTGGGGACAGCGGGGACAGCGTGGGGACAGCGGGGACAGCGTGGGGACAGCGGGGACAGCGTGGGGACAGCGGGGACAGCGTGGGGACAGCGGGGACAGCGTGGGGACAGCGGGGACAGCGTGGGGACAGCGGGGACAGCGTGGGGACAGCGGGGACAGCGTGGGGACAGCGGGGACAGCGTGGGGACAGCGGGGACAGCGTGGGGACAGCGGGGACAGCGTGGGGACAGCGGGGACAGCGTGGGGACAGCAGAGACAGCGTGGGGACAGCGTGGGGACAGAGAGGGGATGGAGAGGGGACAGAGAGGGGACAGGGTGGGGACAGTGGGGACAGAGAGGGGACAGTGTGGGGACAGTGGGGATAGAGAGGGGACACCCCGGGGATGCGGGGACAGCGTGGGGATACCCCAGGGACGGGTAAATCCCAAAAGGGGGCAGTGACAAAGTGGGGACACCCCGTGAATGGGGACACCAGGAATGGGGGGACACCAGGAACGGGGTGTGGGAACACCCAGGGAATGGGGACACCCAGGGCACGGGGGGACACCAGGAATGGGGGGACACCAGGAACGGGGTGTGGGAACACCCAGGGAATGGGGACACCCAGGGCACGGGGGGACACCAGGAATGGAGGGACTTCGGGAACGAGGACCCCTCAAAATGGGGACACCCCAACATGGGGCCCTGCCAGAGCAGGGGCACCCCAGGACCGGGGGGATCCCGGGAACGGGGACACCCCGGAGGAGGAGGACCCCAAACCCCGGGTGCCCCCCAAAAGCAGAGCCCCCCAAACCCCCCCACTCACCAGGGTCACGTTCCTCCTCCTCCTCCCAGTGGGCACCCACCACGAGCGGGCGGGGGGCTCTGAGGGGGGGTCCCCCCGGCCTGGCCGCTCCTGGGGGGGAACAGACGGGCATGGGGTGGGGGGGACAGGGACCCCCGGGCACTCCTGGACACCTGTGGACACCCCTGGCCAGACACCGCCACCCCTGGACACCCCTGGACACCCCTGGGCACCTCCTGTTGTTCCCCCCCCGACCCCAGGACACCTTTAGGATACCCTGGACACCCCTGGACACTCATGGCCACCTCTGGCCACCTTTGGCCACCCCTGGACACCACTGGCCCGCCCTGGGCACCCCTGTGCCCCCACCCCAAACACCCCTGGACACCCCTGGCCACATCTGGCCACCCCTGTGCCCCCACCCCAAACACCCCTGGACACCTCTGGCCACATCTGGCCACCCCTGTCCCCCCACCCCAAACACCCTGGCCCCCTCTGGACCCCCCCCCCAGCCCCCCCAAATCTCACCAGGGCGAGGCGCAGGGGGTTGGCGGGGGGGCTGCAGGGCACGGGGGGGGTCCCCATCTCCAGGCTCAGGGGGTACAGGAGCCACTTCCCGTTGGGCAGCTCCAGCGGCCACTGCACCGTCAGCGCGGCCGAGCCGGGGGTCTTCAGCACCGGCCCCCGCTGCGACACCTGGGGGGCACGGCAGGGACCCCCCCCGACCCATCAGGGACAGCCGAGGGGAACCCCCACCCCAAAAATAGCCCCTGTATGGAGCCACGATCCCAAAAATAGCACCCGACCCCCATAAAAGCCCCGATCCCAGAAATAGCCCCCACCCCAAAACCAGCCCTGTATGGAGCCATGATCCCAAAAATAGCACCTGACCCCCAAAACAGCCCCAACCCCAAATAGCCCTGACCCCAAAAACAGCCCCAACCCCCAAATAGCCCTGACCCCAAAAACAGCCCCAACCCCAAAAATAGCCCTGACCCCAAAAACAGCCCCAACCCCCAAATAGCCCTGATCCCAAAAACAGCCCCAACCCCAAAAATAGCCCTGACCCTAAAACCAGCCCGCACCCCAAAAACAGACCCGACCCCAAAACCAGCCCTGTGTGGAACTCCCACCCCAAAATAGCACCTGACCCCAAAACCAGCCCCTGTATGGATCCATGACCCCCAAAAACCATTCCCAAACCCCAAAACAGCCCTGACCCCAAAAATAACCCTGTATGGAACCCCGACCCCATTTTGGTTTTGGGGTCCCGGGGTGGGGGGGGGTTGTCTCTGTTTTGGGGGTCTCTCTTTTGGGGGGTCTCTGGTTTTGGAGGTCTCTGTTCTGAGGGTCTCTGGTTTGGGGTCTTTGGTTTTGGGGTCTGTTTTGGTTTTGGGGTTTGTGTTTTGGGGGATCTCTGTTTTGCGGGGTGTCTGTTTTGAGGGGGGTCTCTCTTTTGGGGGAGGGTCTCCTTTTGGGGAGGGTCTCCTTTTGGGGGAGGGTCTCCTTTTGGGGAGGGTCTCCTTTTGGGGGGTCTCTCACCGTGACCTCGAAGCGGACGGCGCTGCCCACCTGGCTCTCCCTCTTCACCGCACTCTCCCCCAGCACCTGCCCCCCAAAAAACAGCCGGGGGGGCACGGCCACGCTGCGGGGACAGCCCTGCTGTGAGGGGGGATCCCCGGGGGGGGGTCCCGACCCCAAAGCCCCCTCCCCACTCACCCGGTCACGGCCAGGGGCAGCTCGATGACCACGCGGGCGCGGGCGACCACCGGCTCCAGCCCCGGCTGCTCGCTGGTCCTGGGGGGTTTGGGGTCGGGGGGGTGAAACCCCAAAAGAAAAACCCCGAAGGGGTGCGGGGGTGGGGTGAGCCCCAAATGCAGCCCCCCGACCCTAAATGTTGGGGGGCCGGACTCTGAAACTGCCGGGGTTTTGTCTCCAAATCATGGGGGTCTGACCCCAAATCCCCTGGGATTCCAGACCCCAAATCCTGGGGGCTCTGGACCCCAAAGGCTGGGGGTCTGACCCCAAATCCCCTGGGATCCCAGACCCCAAATCCTGGGGGCTCTGGACCCCAAAGGCTGGGGGTCTGACCCCAAATTCCCCAGGGATTTACCCCAAAGGCTGGGGGTCTGACCCCCAAATTCCCCAGGGCTTCACCTCAGATCTTGGGGGCTTTGGACCCCAAATACTGGGGGCTCTGACCCCAAATCCCCTGGGATCCCAGACCCCAAATCCCCTGGGATTCCAGTCCCCAAATCCTGGGGGCTCTGGACCCCAAAGGCTGGGGGTCTGACCCCAAATCCCCTGGGATCCCAGACCCCAAATCCTGGGGGCTCCAAACCCCAAATTCCCCGCGGCTTTCACCCTCAACATCCCAGGGTTCTGGCCCCCAAACCCCGGGGGTCTCGATCCCCACTCCCGGGAGTACCATCCCCCAATCCCGGGGGTCTCCATCCCCAAACCTTGAGGGTCTCCATCCCCAAACCCCGGGGGTCTCCATCCCCCAATCCCGGGGGTCTCCATCCCCCAATCCCGGGGGTCTCCAGCCCCACCGCGGGGGTCCCAGCCCCCCGCCCGGCTCACGTGGACAGCTCCAGCTGCACCTCCAGGTCCGTGGTGTGGATGGAGATGCCCGAGGTGCTGAGGATGAGGAAGAGCCGCACCTGGGGAAGGGGAGGGAAATGAGGCTTCAATTTTGACACTTAAGCCAGGTTTTCTGAGTGACCCCAACCCAGAGACCCCCCCTGCGGCACCCGGGGTCACCCCGAGTGACCACAGAGTGACCCCTGAGTGACCCCTGAGTGACCACTGAGTGACCCCAACCCAGAGACCCCCCCTGCGGCACCCGGGGTCACCCCGAGTGACCACAGAGTGACCCCTGAGTGACCCCTGAGTGACCACTGAGTGACCCCAACCCAGAGACCCCCCCTGCGGCACCCGGGGTCACCCCGAGTGACCACAGAGTGACCCCTGAGTGACCCCTGAGTGACCACTGAGTGACCCCAACCCAGAGACCCCCCCTGCGGCACCCGGGGTCACCCCGAGTGACCACAGAGTGACCCCTGAGTGACCCCTGAGTGACCACTGAGTGACCCCAACCCAGAGACCCCCCCTGCGGCACCCGGGGTCACCCCGAGTGACCACAGAGTGACCCCTGAGTGACCCCTGAGTGACCACTGAGTGACCCCAACCCAGAGACCCCCCCTGCGGCACCCGGGGTCACCCCGAGTGACCACAGAGTGACCCCTGAGTGACCCCTGAGTGACCACTGAGTGACCCCAACCCAGAGACCCCCCCTGCGGCACCCGGGGTCACCCCGAGTGACCACAGAGTGACCCCTGAGTGACCCCTGAGTGACCACTGAGTGACCCCAACCCAGAGACCCCCCCTGCGGCACCCGGGGTCACCCCGAGTGACCACAGAGTGACCCCTGAGTGACCCCTGAGTGACCACTGAGTGACCCCAACCCAGAGACCCCCCCTGCGGCACCCGGGGTCACCCCGAGTGACCACAGAGTGACCCCTGAGTGACCCCTGAGTGACCACTGAGTGACCCCAACCCAGAGACCCCCCCTGCGGCACCCGGGGTCACCCCGAGTGACCACAGAGTGACCCCTGAGTGACCCCTGAGTGACCACTGAGTGACCCCAACCCAGAGACCCCCCCTGCGGCACCCGGGGTCACCCCGAGTGACCACAGAGTGACCCCTGAGTGACCCCTGAGTGACCACTGAGTGACCCCAACCCAGAGACCCCCCTGCGGCACCCAGGGTGACCCCAGAGTAACCCCCTGAGTGATCCCTGAGTGTCCCTGTCTACTGTTCCTGTCCCTGTACCCTCTCCCTGTGTCCCCTGTCCCCATCCCCGTCCCCATCCCCATCCCTGTCCCCTATCCTGTGTTCCCTGTCCCTGTCCCCATCCCTGTCCCTGTCCCCATCCCATCCCCATCCCCATCCCTGTCCCCTATCCTGTGTCCCCCGTCCCCGTCCCCGTGCCCACCCCGGTGCCCGCGGGCTCCTCGGCCCTCATGGCGGCGTAGGGCAGCTCCGGGGGGAAGGTGGCCACGAGCAGGGCCTGGTGGGCATCGTCCCCGTCGCGGTGCGGCTGCGCGGGGTCCGAGGGCTCGTTGGTCACCTGCACCTCCAGCGCCACGTCCTTCTGGTCACTCACGGCGAAGATGGCAGTGCCATCCTCGTCCCTGCGGGCACAGCCTCGTCAGAGCCCTGGGGACAGCCCGGGCACTCACGGGGAGGTGGCAGTGCCATCCTTGCACGTGTGACCCCCTGGGGACACCCCGGGCACTCAGGGTGAGGTGGCAGTGCCATCCTTGCACGTGTGACCCCCTGGGGACACCCCGGGCACTCAGGGTGAGGTGGCAGTGCCATCCTCATCCCGTGACTGCCCTGGGGACACCCCGGGCACTCAGGGTGAGGTGGCAGTGCCATCCTTGCACGTGTGACCCCCTGGGGACACCCCGGGCACTCAGGGTGAGGTGGCAGTGCCATCCTCACCCCGTGACTGCCCTGGGGACACCCCGGGCACTCAGAGAGAAGTGGCAGTGCCATCCTCACCCTGTGACTGCCTTGGGGACACCCCGACACTCACAGAGAGGTGGCAGTGCCATCCTCACCCCGTGACTGCCCTGGGGACACCCGGTCCCCGCCGGGAGGTGGCAGAGGTGGCAGTGCCACCCTCACCCCGTGACTGCCTTGGGGACACCGCGGTCCCTCCCGGAGGTGGCAGTGCCACCCTCGCCCCCCTGGGCACAGCCCGTCCCCCCCGGGGGTGGCCGTGTCCCCGCCGGCGCTGTCGCTCACCGGGGCAGGGGCAGGAAGTCGCTGTCCCCCAGGCGCGCGCAGAAGCGCGGCCGCAGCTCCAGGTGGCTCTGGCAGATTTTGTCATCGCCGCAGCCCTGGCGCAGGAAATGCACCTGGGGGACACGGGGACACTGAGGGGACACCGCGGGGACACCGCGGGGACACGCCCAGCAATGTGGGCGACACTCCAGGTGGGACAAGGGGGACACGGTGACACGAGAGGGACCTGGGGGGACACAAGGAGGGACACAGGTGACAATGCCGGTGTCCTAAACGGGGACTGGGGGACACGGAGGGACACAGAGGGGTGACACAGGTGGGTGACACAGAGTGACCCAGGTGACCCGGGGGCCGGGTGGCACAGGGGGCTGACACGGGGGCTGACACAGGTGTGTGACACAGGCAGGTGTCACAGGGTGACCCGGGTGCCCAGGGTGGCACAGGGGTGACCCAGGTGTGTGACCCGGGTGACCCGGGTGTGGGGTGGCACAGGTGTGTGACCCAGGTGTGTGACACATGCAGGTGCCCCAGGGTGTGACCCGGGTGCCTGGGGGTGGCACAGGGGGCTGACACAGGGGGTGACACAGAGGACCCAGGTGACCAAGGGGGTGACACAGGGGGACACAGGTGTGTGACACATGCAGGTGACCCAGTGTGACCCGGGGCCGGGTGGCACAGGTGTGTGACACAGGTGTGTGACACATACAGGTGCCCCGGGTGCCCCGGGTGTGGGGTGGCACAGGGGGCTGACACAGGAGTGTGACACAGGCAGGTGCCCCAGGTGACCCGGGTGTGGGGTGGCACAGGTGTGTGACACAGGAGTGTGACACAGGCAGGTGACACAGGGTGACCCAGCGTGACCCAGGTGTGTGACACATGAAGGTGCCCCAGGTGCCCCGGGTGGCATGGGTGTGTGACACAGGTGTGTGACACATGCAGGTGACCCAGGTGCCCCAGGTGTGGGGTGGCACAGGGGGCTGACACAGGAGTGTGACACATGCAGGTGCCCCAGGTGCCCCAGGTGTGTGACACATGCAGGTGCCCCAGGTGCCCCGGGTGCCCCAGGTGTGTGACACAGGCAGGTGCCCCAGGTGCCCCAGGTGCCCGGCGGCAGTGCCAGCCGTGCCCACCTCGGTGCGCAGCGTGCTGGGCTGGCGCGGGCTGAGCGCGGGGGCCAGGGGGGGCAGCGCTGTCCCCCGGCCCCCCCGGTGCCACCCGCGCGTCCCCGCGATGCCGAAGGCCACGGTGACGTCCAGCGGCCGCAGCTTGTCCCGGATGTCGTCCTGAGGAGGAGGAGGAGGGGGGAGGAAGGTCGGGGGGCACTGGGGACACCGGAGGTGCTGGCACGGCCCGGGGGACACGGCGGGGACAAGGGGGACAGGGATGAGGGGGAGGAAGGTGAGGATGAGGAGGGAGAGGCTGAAGAAGGTGAGGATGACGAGGAGGAGCCTGAGGCTGAGGCTGAGGAGGATGAGGAAGGTGAGGATGAGGAACATGAGGATAAAGAAGCTGAGGAGGGTGAGGATGAGGAAGATGAGGCTGAGGAGGAGGAGCCTGAGGAAGGTGAAGCTGAGGATGAGGAAGGTGAGGGTGAGGAGGAGGAGCCTGAGGAAGGTGAGGCTGAGGATGAGGAAGGTGAGGGTGAGGATGAGGGTGAGGAAGATGAGGATAAGGAGGGCAAGGCTGAGGAGGCTGAGGATGAGGAGGGCGAGACTGGGAATGAGGAAGAGGAGGTTGAGGAAGGTGAGGCAGAGGAAGAGAAGGCTGAAGCTGAGGAGGGTGAGGAAGAGGAGGCAGAGGAAGAGGATGAGGATGAGGGGTGAGGCTGAGAATGAGGAAGGGGAGGCAGAGGATGAGAAGGCAGAGGAAGAGGGGCAGAGGATGAGAAAGAGGAAGAGAAGGCTGAGGCTGAGGAAGAGGAGGCAGAGGGAGAGGAAGAGGAGTTAGAGACAGAGGAGGTGAGGATGAGGATGAGGAAGAGAAGGCTGGGGAAGGCAAGGCCGAGGAAGAGGAGGCAGAGGGTGAAGGCCGAGGAAGAGGAGGCAGAGGGTGAAGGCGAGGAAGAGGAGGCAGAGGCTGAGGCCGAGGCAGAGCAGGCAGAGGGGGAAGGCGAGGCCGAGGGAGAGGAGGCAGAGGAAGATGAGGCCGAGGCAGAGGAGGCAGAGGGTGAGGCCGAGGCAGAGGAGGCAGAGGGTGAAGGCGAGGCCGAGGAAGAGGAGGCAGAGGGTGAGGCTGAGGAAGAGGAGGCAGAGGAAGATGAGGCCGAGGCAGAGGAGGCAGAGGGTGAAGGCGAGGCTGAGGCAGAGGAGGCAGAGGAAGATAAGGAGGCCGAAGCACGCACGTGCAGGCGGAAGGCGGCGGGCACGCAGCGGCGCTCTCCCGGCCGCGGCAGCTCCAGGCGGGTCCCCAGGCGGTGCTCGGGCTCCGCCGGGCCCCGCGCCGGGAACGACCCCCGGGGCTGCAGCCCCCGGCCCCGGCGCTCCGAGTCCGCCTCCAGCAGCAGCTGCAGCTCTGCGGGAAAGGCGGGGAGGGGGCTCAGAGAGTGGGGGTCCCGAGGATGGGAGGGGCCCCAAAGGATGGGGAGGGGTCGCGAAGATGGGGAGGGGTCCCAAGGATGGGAGACCAAGGATGGGGAGGGGTCCCAAGGATGGCAAGGGGCCCAAGGATGGGAGGGGTCCCAAGGATGGGGAGGGGTCCCAAGGATGGGGAGGGGTCCCAAGGATGGGAGACCAAGAATGGGGAGGGGTCCCAAGGATGGGGAGGGGTCCCAAGGATGGGGAGGGGTCCCAAAGGACGGGGAGGGGTCCCAAGGATGGGAGACCAAGAATGGGGAGGGGTCCCAAGGATGGGGAGGGGTCCCAAAGGATGGGGAGGGGTCCCAATGATGGGGGTCCTCAGGGACTGGGGTGTCCTGGGGGATGGGGGGCTGTCCCAGGGACAGGGGGGTCCCTCAGGGATCGGGGGTCCCCAGGGACAGGGGAGTTCCAGGATTTGGGGGGGGTCCCCCAGGGCTGGGGGTGTCCCTGGAATGGGAGGGTCCCCAGGGGTGGTGGGGGATCCCCAGGATTGGGGGTCTCGGGGATAGGGGTTCCCAGCATTGGGGGTCCCTGGGATGGGGGTCCCCCAGCATTGGGGATCCCCCACATTAGGGGTCCCCCAGCATTGGGGGTGCCCAGGATTTGGGGGGTCCCCAGCATTGGGGGTGCCAGCATTGGGGGTCCCCCATGGGGGCCGGGGTCGCACTCACCCAGCGGGGGGCTGTCGCTGCCCGGGCTCGCGGTGTAGCTGAAGCACGCCCGAACCTCCAGGCTGGGGGGGCCGGGGGTCACCGGGGGGGTCCCGAGACCCCCGCAGCGCGGCGNACGGGGGGGGACATGGGGGGACACGGGGGACATGGGGGACAGGCGGCACCCACCAGACGCCGTGGCCGTCGCCGCAGGTGCTCCGCTCCAGGTCGATGAGCGGCGGCTGCACCGACACGTTCCGGGACACGTGCACCACCGGCCGCGCCCTGCGGGGGGAAACGGGGGTCCCGGGGGGAGCCCCCGCTCCTGAGCGCACCCCCCGAGGGGACCCCCGAGGGGCGGGGGGCTCGGCGAGGGGGGTCTGGGGGGGTCTCACCTGTAGAGCACCACGGTGTCGGACAGGGACCCCACGAGCAGGTCGGGGTGCAGGTTCCCGTCTACGTCCAGCCCCCCCGAGAGCGAGTAGCCAAAGGCCGAGACCCCCACGGCCTCCCCGTCCAGGACCTGGGCAGGGGGCGGCCCCGGCTGAGCCGTGACCCCCCTGGAGACCCCCCTGGAGACCCCCCGGGACCCCCCGGACCCCCCTCACCTGCGCCGGGCGGGTGACGATGCCCAGGGCGCTGCCGTGGTAAATGAAAACTTTGCCCGCGCCGTCGAAAGGAGCCCCCACGGCCAAATCTGGGGGGAAATTTGGGGGGATTTGGGGGGCCAGACCCCTACCCAGGGGTCCCTTGGGGTGCAGCCCCCCCCCCCCCCCCGCGGGGGCGGCGCTCAGGGCGTGGGGAGGGGGTTTGGGGGTCGCACCCGCGGTGACGCAAGTGGCCAGGGGTGGCACACACAGCCCCACAGGTGACCCAGGTGACAGTGACACAGTGACAGTGACACAATGACACAGGTGACAGTGACACAGTGACAGTGACACAGTGACAGTGACAGTGACACAGTGACCCAGGTGACACGGTGACAGTGACCCAGTGACCCAGGTGACACAGTGACACAGTGACAGTGACCCAGGTGACATGGACCCGTGTCCCAGTGACAGTGGCCCAGTGGCAGTGACCCAGGTGCCAGTGACCCGTGTCCCAGTGGCAGTGCGCGTGTCCGAGTGGCAGTGACCCAGGTGCCAGTGACCCGTGTCCCAGTGGCAGTGCGCGTGTCCGAGTGGCAGTGACCCAGGTGCCAGTGACCCGTGTCCCAGTGGCAGTGCGCGTGTCCGAGTGGCAGTGACCCAGGTGCCAGTGACCCGTGTCCCAGTGGCAGTGCGCGTGTCCGAGTGGCAGTGACCCAGGTGCCAGTGACCCGTGTCCCAGTGGCAGTGCGCGTGTCCGAGTGGCAGTGACCCAGGTGCCAGTGACCCGTGTCCCAGTGGCAGTGCGCGTGTCCGAGTGGCAGTGACCCAGGTGCCAGTGACCCGTGTCCCAGTGGCAGTGCGCGTGTCCGAGTGGCAGTGACCCAGGTGCCAGTGACCCGTGTCCCAGTGGCAGTGCGCGTGTCCGAGTGGCAGTGACCCAGGTGCCAGTGACCCGTGTCCCAGTGGCAGTGCGCGTGTCCGAGTGGCAGTGACCCAGGTGCCAGTGTCCCAGTGGCAGTGACCCAGTGCCCACAGTGACAGTGACACAGTGACAGTGATACAGTGACACAGTGACAGTGTCCCAGTGGCAGTGCCCGTGTCCCAGTGCCCGTGTCCCAGTGACAGTGTCCCAGTGACAGTGTCCCAGTGGCAGTGACCCAGGTGACAGTGACCCAGTGGCAGTGAGCCAGGTGACAGTGACCCAGGTGACAGTGTCCCAGTGGCAGTGAGCCAGGTGACAGTGACCCAGGTGACAGTGACCCGTGTCCCAGTGACAGTGTCCCAGTGGCAGTGACCCAGTGCCCGTGTCCCAGTGGCAGTGCCCGTGTCCCAGTGGCAGTGACCCAGGTGACAGTGACCCGTGTCCCAGTGGCAGTGAGCCAGGTGACAGTGACCCAGGTGACAGTGACCCAGTGGCAGTGTCCCAGGTGGCAGTGACAGTGTCCCAGTGCCCGTGTCCCAGTGACAGTGTCCCAGTGCCCGTGTCCCAGGTGACAGTGACCCGTGTCCCAGTGGCAGCCCGCTGTCCCCGCGCACCCGTCGCTGTTGAGGTCCAGCAGGGCCAGCGCGTGGCCGAAGGCCGAGCTCAGCTGGTGGCCGCCCAGCACGGCCTCGGCCACCAGCCGGCTGGCGCTGTCGCGCCGCAGGATGACCACGGCGCCCGTGTGGTTGGCGCGGGGCGCGCCCGTGACAAAGCTCAGCTGCTGTCGCCGTGTCACCCCCGGCCCGGAGTCCACCGAGAACCCTGCGGGGACACGGGACAGCCCTGTCACCCTGGGACCGCCCAGGGGACACGGGACAGCCCTGTCACCCTGAGAGCCCTGCGGGGACACGGGACAGCCCTGTCACCCTGGGACCGCCCGGGGACACGGGGACAGCCCTGTCACCCTGAGGGCCCTGCACGGACACGGGGACAGCTCTGTCACCCTGGGACTGCCCAGGGGACAGCCCTGTCACCCTGGGACCGCCCAGGGGACACGGGACAGCCCTGTCACCTTGGGACCGCCCAGGGGACAGCCCTGTCACCCTGGGATCGCCCAGGGGACACGGGGACAGCCCTGTCACCTTAGGACCGCCCAGGGGACAGCCCTGTCACCCTGAGGGCCCTGCGGGGACACGGGGACAGCTCTGTCACCCTGGGACTGCCCAGGGGACAGCCCTGTCACCCTGGGACTGCCCAGGGGACACGGGACAGCCCTGTCACCCTAAGAACCCTGCGGGGACACGGAGACAGCTCTGTCACCTTGGGACCGCCCAGGGGACACGGGACAGCCCTGTCACCCCCCAGAGTCCTGCGGGGACACGGGGACAGCTCTGTCACCCTGGGACTGCCCAGGGGGCATGGGGACACCACAGGTTGGGGATTGTGGGGGGTAAAAGGCAGAATTTGGGGGCCAGAGCAGCAAAACCCAGAGCAGAGCCCCCTCCCCACATGCAGCGGTTGCCGTGAGCAGCCCCCGAGCCCCCCCAAAGCCCCCAAAACCCCCCCAGAGCCCCCAAAGCCAGGCTCCAGCCCCTCCCAAGCCCCCAAAACCCCCCCAGAGCCCCCAGAGCCCCCAAAGCCAGGCTCCAGCCCCTCCCCCACAATCCATGCACCCCCCCCATGCACAAACATCACCGGGGGGACAGCGGGGACACGGGGGGACAGGCGGGGACACGCCAGGCTCTGGGACCCTCCAAAGCTCTGTGACCCCCCCCCCAAGCCTGGCAGTGCCCCCAGCACAGCCCTGGCACAGCCACGGGACGGGGACGGGGACAGGGACAGGGACAGGGACAGGGACAGGGACAGGGACAAGGACAGGGACAGGGTTTGGTGACACAGGGACGGTGACACCGGGGTGGGGACACAAGACGGGCGGGGGGGTGACGCGGCCACACGTGTGCGCGTGCGGGGTGACACGGAGGGGACAGGGGCGTGTCTGGGGACACGGAGGGGGGGATCCGCGTCCCGATGGGGACACGAGCGCACGGGTGACACCCGAGAAAGGGACACCCCTGGGGGCGACACGCGTGTCCGGGGTGACACCCGCCGGGGGGACACGTGTGACAGGACCCCGCGGGGGGCGAGGGGAGGGGGCGACACGGCACGGGGAGGGTCACACAGGGCACACGGGTGGCACACGGGTGGCACACGGGTGGCACACGGGTGGCACCACGCACGAACCCAGGTAGGAATTGTGCGCCACGTCCGCGGCCGCGCCGGGGACCCTCTCTCCGGGCTCGGGGGTCCTGAAGACCCTCTGGTCGGGGGTCGCGCTCTCAATGTTTGTCACAAAGAGCAGCCCTGGGGGGGGGGGGGGATGGGG